GACCTCTTGCTCATACCATCGTCTCCATATGCTTCTGGCATAGGCCATAGGCATATGACTCCTAAAATCGGTGAACATTTATTCAGACTTTTGGATACCAACTTTCGAAATGACTGTTTGTAAAATCTATAGTTCATTAAAGCAGTTTGCCTATAACGCTGAATTTATTTTATCAAAAATGCATGAACATAATTTACTTTTTGTTACGTTTCAAATGAGGTCATAAATTAGTCCGATTGAAAGGAAAGCTTAGAGGAATTACAAACATACCTATGCATAGATAAAACCTACAGTTCTACATAAATCGAGTCAATACACTTGTCTCGCTTTTTCTAATTTAATTTTCAAATAAGGCAAAGATACAAATCTATTGCAAGATTTTGCGTCTTATTCATGCGTAGAAATAAAAATGTCAAGTAGACATCTTTGATCTCTTTATACTATGCTAAATATGAGAGTAAGAACACTCGTATATTCTGTTTTACTAGAAAAATTTGATCCGTATTGTAGTAGTTATATGTGACGTTACTTTACAAGACATGACGTCTTGAATCTATTTGTATTGTGATTTTGTTCACAATTTTAGCAACAAAGAAAATAAGACTTAATTCATTATTTTTAACGATTAAATAAGTTGTTTCCTAAATCAAGTGTTGATGATTATTATATAACAATGCAAATAATTGTTTCCCAAACTTTAAAAGCTTATAGTTGGGAGTTATGAATACTAAGTCTTGACAGACACACTGTAAATAAGCGAGTTGGATCCCATTTGTAATCTCAATTTTATATGCTTACTAACGATCGTCCCCTTCTTCACACGACTTTTTTCTAGATCTCGACAACATCGTCACTTACCGTCCAATTGTGAGTGTCAAAATCGTTCCAGCTTTTCTCAAGTGATGAATTTTTTTCATACATGCGGCAATTGATTTTTATTTATAAAGATTTACCACTTGATTAGCGGATCGACTATATTCAACAAACGTTTATCGTATTGGATGAAAATATTTTGAAATTATGAGGTTAATTTATATTAAGGTAAAATTGTAAAGGTAAGCAAAGGTAAAAAAAAGTATAAAGGAATCCACTACCTCCTACCCAATAGTATATATTATTACTTAGAAGCTCCAAGACGCCATACTATTCCGTGAGTTTAGTAAAAGACGACAGAGTGAAATGAAACTGGGGATTGGCAACTCTATCTTTCCGATAACAACTCCATTTAATGAAAAAATGCAGTTGCCAAGACACTTGCTAAGAGAGGAAACCGTGGTAAATATTCCCGGCAGACCGTGGTCGTGCCGCTATTATTGTACTATATACGTTCCGTGCAACAAACTTAGTATCGATTAAACAAAGACAGATATTTCCTGTCAAACCCTTAATAAGTTTAAGGGTAACTTGGCTGAAATAAACCGGTTGAATTTAAATAGATTCATAGTGACCTTTCAGGTTATATTTTAAATCATACAACGATAGTACGAACTTTCGTATTGTTAAGATGTCAGATGAACCTTCCATACACTTTCATTGACATACATAAGTATTACGAACCGGATTAATAAAAATCCTTAATTTTACTAAGTCAAAGACAAAATATTTTTGTTTGTGTTTCGCTAATAGTACATCAATAGAGGCGTCTATGGAATGGAAAAACGACAACAACCTTGTAAAAGAAAGAATGTTAGAATAATATAGCTGTCTTATTTCGTACCATGTTAACGTCATATGTATAAAAACTTAAGCCAAAAGAATTTAGATCTTGCTAGAGGAATTACTCTGAGAAGTAAAGCTAGTCGCTTAAAATAGTATTTTCTTGCTTGATGTATGTCAAAATATTTAATAATTCAATTTCTTGGTTTTGTTTAAAAATGGGTTATACTTTTGATTCCTTAATTTACTTTATTTCTAATTTAATTCAATTGTTCCACGAAACCCATACGTTGACCATCGATTTACTAAGAGAAAATTTCTTCCTAAATTTTAGATTTATTTTAATTATCAAACAGTTAGTGCGATGTAACTCCGTCAATTAATAAAACGTTATTCACGCTACGACATAAATATTTTTTACAATTATTATAATCAATCAGTTTTATCTTGGGGTTTAGGCTATTTGATCGAAATAATCATAACATAATATTAAAATACGCAGAAAAACTATTTCTGTTTATGTAAAATGTAAAATATGAATCCATGTAAAATGTCAATTTATGAATTTATTACCCACTTCAGCCCACTCTAGGAGGTCAAGTAATCAAGTTCGGTCCAAATATTGCTTAGGATAAAGGAGTTGATATCTAAACGGGTGCCAAGCTCCCTATCAGTGACTTAAAATAGAATCTATAGGAATGTACAACGACCTGGTAACTGCTATGAAGCTTCGTGATCGTGCCCATTCAGATCTTAAGTCTTATGTAGCGGAACTGAACTAATCTAAGATTGTTGAGATCTTTCAAACTTTTTGTTATAAATCATTTAAATTGCAGGTGTGTAGCAAAACATAAGTTATTGTTGTGAAAGCAAGAAAATTAATCATACTGTGCATTCACATTTTTGGTTACAGACACATAAAAGTAATGTTTAATGTTTAGTTTCATATGTCGTAAAAAGATTGTTATGTATCTTATTTTTAATTATATTAATTATTTATTATATTTATTAACTCTTTTACTGGCGAAGCCGACAATCTCAAACATCATTTGTACCGAACTTGTCTCCTTTTCCACATTTATGTTTTTGGTGCCATTAGTTTTACTGCAATTGCGCTTCAAGGTTAAACGAAGTTTTTTAAAACCTTTTTCGGTTAAGCGACAAAAAAATTGTTTTTCAAACATTTTCCAGAAGGAGGAAGTTACCGGTTAAGCTATTATTTTTAATTTACGGTTATTTTCAATTGCGTGCTATTTACCATAAGGTAAAATTTTTGGACAGCGTTTGAATTACTTTTTATTACACCTGCAACAAACTTGATTCAAAGTCGTTGTCATCTCTGTGGACTAAGATGAATTAAGATGACGTGAATGCCTCACAGCTTTTAATCATACGAGGTGTCTAAAACCTGCAGACCTTAATACAGCAATCGTAGAATTCCTAGTATCATGGTATTTAATATTTTAGAAAATCTGTCAAATCCGACTCCTCGGTGAGACTTCTTAATAACGACGCCGCATAACCTCAATGTATTTTAATTAAGTAGAGGGCTTAATAGGTTAAAGTTTATAAACCGATTAAAGCACTTGAATAAATTTTAATTTGGAACAAAGTCCATACTTCAGTTTATTTAAAATCTATTACAAAGCTTTTAATACACGAATAATTTTGAAGTTCGTCAGAGTGTTCATTAATTAGTATTATGTACCTACTTAATTTTTTTGACTTAATTGATTGAGTTTACTTGATTTTATTCGATTCTCAATTATTATCCAGAGCCTTGGAAACGTTTTAACGATTTAAACACACATAATTAATAGGTTCCCACATAATTAGTCAAAATGAAGAAGTGAATGCGTTGTTGTTTGGCGTCAGAAAAATCCAAAAAGGTGGCATGAACACTAATTGATTGTATGTCAGAAAAGGTGTAAAAAATATTACCTAGTAATATTTTTTACACCTATGTATGTTTACGGTTATTAAAACGAAATATCAAATGGATTGCCAATTTCTAAAATTACTTGTTAAACAACATTATTATCAAACATATGTTGAAACTGCCTTCCACCTAATTAAAATTCCTTAGCTAGTCTTGATAGATGACGCTTTAAATGGGAAGTGGTAAGGACAACAATTTAGGCAGTTGTCATGGGTCAGATATAAATACGTAATATAAAATAAATATAGGTGGTAATAATAATAATAATAATAATCCGGGAGGGGATTTCAGCTTCGGAAAGGAGGTACAAAAGTGACCCACCTTTTCTATATGGATGACCTCAAATTATTTGACTCCAGTCGCTCCCATCTTATGGAATTGCTAAACATCACTTGTGAATTTAGCAAATTTATTGGAATAGAGCTGGAGACGGATAAGAGTGCGGTTCTCCATATTGAAAGGGGAAGGGTTGCTAACTCTGAGGGCATAGACATATCTATGCCCGTCAACTTACAAAACCCTTTCCGAGGCTGAAACATACCGATACCTGGGTATGTCACAGAACATCGGTATCGATGAGGCTGGTATGAAACAGTCAGCTTGCGACATGTTTTATGCACGCTTGATCAAAGTGCTTAACAGCCTTTTGTCCGGTGTGAAAGGCACACGAATATAACGGCTGGGTCATGCCTGTCCTCATGTATACCTTTGGCATACTCAGGTGGACTCAGACTGAGCTTAACGCCCTGGATAGAAAAGTCCGCACTACAATGACGTCCCATAGGATGCATCATCCGAGATCGTCGGTAATGAGACTGTACTTGCCGCGAAAGCATGGTGGGCGTGGCTTCCTCACCATGCATAATCGCGAAGTGTGCAGCCTCCGTGATTACTTTCTGGCGAGATCGGATGATCCATTCTATAATGACGTCATTTCTAGTGATAAAGGGCTTACCCATCTATCCTTAGCCAACGAGCAATGGCAGGACCCGGCAGTACAAAACATTTCCGACCGGGAGACCGTATGGAAGGAGAAGGAGCTCCACGGGAGGTACTACAGGGCTCTACATGAGCCCTTCGTAGATACAGTCGCCACTGTCAACTGGCTACGTTTCGGTGACCTTTTCGGGGAAACTGAGGGTTTTGTCTGTGCAATACATAATCAGGTTATTAGGACCAACAACTATCGGAGATACATCCTAAAGGATGGCACCATCTACGCGCTACTGGATAAAGTAGTGCTATCCCAGCCTGAAGAATAAGAATTGAAGAACGTATCGCAAAGGCTAGGGCCCTCATCGGCAGACTGATATGCTTCAGGTCAGGCATTACCAGGCCAAGGATTGTGCGCACCGTCAGGATGGCGTTTGCTGGCACAATTGTTAGTTTGTCCCAGCCAGATATAATGCAAAAACTGACGGAGCACATAGACGACCTGAAGCAGAGAATCGCTGTTTGGGGAAAGCGGATTCGGCGATATACCGAGAAGTCGACACGGTTCCACAAGAATCGTCTCTTCCAGATTAATCAGAAGAGGCTTTATAAATCATTGGAGCGACCAATGGTAAGTGGAACGGGCCCAGCACCGAATCAGGCCGACACGGTGTGGTCAGAGCCCGTAAACCACAGTGAGGGCCCTTGGACGGAAGTTGTGGCGATTCAGTGTGCGGGTATAACGCCCCTGGACCCCGTCATCATAACGCTGGATGACGTAGCTGAGGCGGTCCGTAGGGCCCCGAACTGGAAAAGTTCGGGGCTTGACGGACTGCATCACTAATGGCTGAAGGGGTTCATGGTGTATCACGCTGTGCTCGCCCGACAGTTTCAATAGGCTCTCAACCAGAAGTCGCTTCCAAGCCTTTTCACTACTGGGATCACTCATTTGGTTCCTAAAGACCAGGGTACCACAGACCCGAGCAAATACCGCCCTATCACGTCTCTACCGACCATATACAAGCCACTAACATCCATTTTGAGCGCGAGAATCACTCGTCACCTGGACCCAAATCAGGTGATGTCGCGCGCTCAAAATGGATGTCGGGGTGGCGGTCGTGGAACCAAGGAACCACTCCTCATTGACGCGGTCAATGACAAAGTGATGAAACGCAACCGTCGGAACTTCTCCGCCGCCTGGATAGACTACAGAAAGGCATTTGACTCGGTGCCCCATACATGGCTAAAGAGGGTCCTCGAGCTGTACAAGATTGACTGTACAGTTCGAGATTTCCTCGGGCAGTGTATGGAGCAGTGGTGTACGATCTTCTGTCATCTACGCGAGCGGATAACGGCTGCGGAAAACCGCTAAGGATAAGAAGGGGTATATTCCAGGGCGACTGTCAGAGTCCAATCTGGTTCCGCCTCTCTTTGAACCCTCTCAGTACTTTACTGGAGGGCTCCGGGAGGGCATTTCAGCTTCGGAAAGGAGGTACAAAAGTGACCCACGTTTTCTATATGGATGACCTCAAATTATTCGCCTCCAGTCGCTCCTATCTTATGGAATTGCTAAACATCACTTGTGAATTTAGCAATTCTATTAGAATGGAGCTTGGGACAGATAAGTGCGCGGTCCTTCATGTTGAAACGAGAAGGGTTGCTAACTCTGAGGGCATAGACTTATCTATGCTCGTCAACTTAAGGACCCTTTCCAAGGCTGAAACATACCGATACCTGGGTATGTCACAGAACATCGGTATCGATGAGGCTGGTATGAAACAGTCGGTTTGCGACGTGTTTTATGCACGCTTGGCCAAAGTGCTTAACAGCCTTTTGTCCGGTGTGAATAAGATACACGCATATAACGGCTGGTTCATGCCTGTCCTCATGTATACCTTTGGCATACTCAGGTGGAGTCAGACTGAACTTAACGCCCTTTATAAAAAAGTCCGCACTACAATGACGTCCCATAGGATGCATCATCCGAGATCGTCGGTAATGAGGCTGTACTTGCCGCGAAAGCATGGTGGGCGTGGCCTCTGTGATTACTTCCCGGCGAGATCGGATGATCCATTCTATAATGACGTCATTTCTAGTGATAAAAGATTTACCCTCTATACTTAGCCAACGAGCAATGGCAGGACCCGGCAGTACAGAGCATGGAGAACGTATGAAAGGAGAAGGAGGTACTACAGAGCTCTACATGAGCCCCACGTAGATACAGACACCTCCCTCAACTGGTTACGTTTCGGTGACCTCTTCGGGGAAACCGAGGGTTTTGTCTGTGCAATACAGGATCAGGTTATTAAGACCAACAACTATCGGAGATACATCCTAAAGGATGACACTGTCGACGTCTGTCGAGCTTGTCGCCATCCCGGTGAGTCACTTAGGCACGTTATCTCCGGTTGTTCGGCGCTTTCTAGCTCTGAGTACTTGCACAGGCACAACCTAGTAGCCAGAATTCTAAACCAGGAGCTCGCTGTTAAATACGGTCCCGTGGACCGGAAATTGCCGTATTACAAGTACTTGCCGGAAGCCGTGCTCGAAAATGACCGCAACAGGCTCTACTGGGACCGGGTCATCATCACGGATAGGACTATTCTTGCGAATAAGCTTGATATTGTGCTGATGGACCGGGCACAGTCAAGGATATTTTTGATCGACATTACCATTCCGTATGACGAGAACCTCGTGAAAGCCGAAACAGATAAACGAACAAAATATCTGCACCTGGCTCACGAGGTGACCGATATATGGGGTGGTATGCCGGCCGAAATTATTCCTGTAGTCGTATCTGCGAATGGGCTAATCCCAGTCAGCCTTTCGGGTCATCTGAGGCGACTGGGACTCCGTGACGGATCGCTCCGGGCTCAAATGCAGAAAACAGTGCTCCTCGATTCCGCCCGCATCGCCCACCGGTTTCTTTCCCTTTCCTCATAACCCTCGGCCGTTTGGTCTCCCCTGCCGAGGGCTTCCATCTGGTTGGGCTTTTATGTATTTTTGTATTTATTTTATTTTATTGATATTTATCTTTTCATTTTAATTTATAATTATATTATTTATAGAACCCAACCAGATAAGATAACTATATTGATACCCCATTATAATAATAAAATATAATTAGTTATTTCTTAATATGAATGCTATTTTTATAATATTATTGTTTAATTATGTACTGATTTTAGGTGTCATTTTATTTTTCACTTACTTTATTTTTTCCCTAATTTTTTGTTCAATTTTAATAGTTCCTTATTATTTGTCTTACAGATAAAACTTATATTTAGTGACTGTTCGTAAATTCTAGGTTAAGGCACCGGTAAAATATCAGCGTTGTGTTTATTACTTTGCATGTTATGCTGCAGTATAATCCCCTACAAATACCCTACTCGAAAACGGGATCCCCGTTTTCGAGTAGGGTATTTGTACCGATAATAATGTTTTAAAAACAGTTAAGAAAGATTCTGTCTGTGACTGAATATATTTATATTACATTTCTGTGTCAGAACGGTAGAACTAATAACGGACTATTTATAGTTATATTTACTGTTTAAAAATTCTTATTTTTTTAGTACAAGTAGTGGTTGATGCTGATCGGATTGATTACTACAATAATCATCTCTTTAAATTACTAATTAATTTAAATGTTATCAAAATAAAATATACATGTGACACAATTATAAGTATGTTCTTTGAAGCGTTGAATAAAGATGTTTCTTTCTATTTATTTTTTTAAAATCAATGCTTTAATTTTTGAAAGTGCCTTGAAAATGAATTCGCAAAGAAAATGTATCATATTGCATAATAGATGGCACGGTGCCAGTAAGGATTTTAAGCCTTTATTAATTAATCTTGCAGAGAGCCTCTATGAGAGACGTAGAGGCTTTTTAATTTTTTAGCGTTAAGTGAATTTCATTACGAAATGCATGATGTTTGAAAGAAACCATGCTTACAAATCTTCTCTGACTTTGCATCCTTTTAAGTACATATTCATTCAACCCTTTTATTATATAAAGTGGACAAGATTTGAAGAAAATTGGATTATTGTCGAAACTACTTTTGTTTTTGTGAATATATAAATAAAAAATTTGTAAATATACTGGTAGTGTATGTAGCCTTCTTTGTATGAAGTTGGCTGCAGGCTAGACTTTGTATAGTAGCGTATAAGTATAAATCCAGCTGGGTTACCTGCTCGTTCTGTTCAGGGCAAAAAGAAAGTAAAAAAAATGAATGAAATTTTTAATAATCTATCATCATCATAACCATTTTAGGCCTTTACATATCCACTGCTGAACATAGGCCCGAGGAATGACACAAAGCACGGTCCAGAGCCAATAATATGGAATAAAAATCAATAACATATAACAAAAAAGAAAAAAAATGTAATTATATTCTGTATTAAATAAAAAAAATATATTTTATTAATCTATTTTACTCTAACTACCCCTCAGGACTAAAATAGAATGCCTCACAGCCTCTAATTATACTGGCTCTCTATGTTTTTCAAACCGGTACATCATTTCGTTGTAACAAAGGTAGGAAGCTGGTACCACAAACCAGATAGGCTAAGAAGTCCTTTTTCTTAGACTTTTAACCTATTTGAATATAATTTCCACTAACTGATTATTGCAAACGAGCGAATTGAAAAAGCCAATTTATTTTACTGCTCAAATTCTCCATTTCGTGATATTAAATAGATAAAGTTATATTGCTGAAGTTATATTAAAAGTAAAATTTTAATATAACTACAGCAAATTCAAAGTAAATTTTTTGAAAATTTGGTAGCTGATTCATTGTTTTTTATTTATTCTTTCCGTTCAAATAAAATATTCAAAACTTCTGCTTAAATTGAAATTAAAATATTTAACTAGTTGCATATTTTATTATGCCATTCGCAAACTGCTCTTTGTCCATATTTTTTCTATGTATTTTTAATTGATTCTTGATACATCGATTCCAGTAAAATGCGTCACCGGTTCTCTACACTAACCATACGACGCACAGCAGCATCAAGCTACTATTTTACGCTGGTATTCCATGATAAACTTAGAAATGAGGATATCCGCAGTAGAACCAGAGTGACCGACATAGCCCTACGGATTAGTAAGTTGAAGTGGCAATGGGCCGGCCATATAGCTCGAAGAACCGACAACCGATGGGAAAAAGGGTACACGAGTAGCAGCCTCGTACCGGTAGGTGTAGTGTGGGGCGACCCCCACTAGATGGAGTGACGACCTGGTAAGACATACAGGAAGTCGATGGATGCAGGTGGCTCAGGACCTTGGTTTGTGGCATTCCTTGGGGGAGGCCTATGTTCAGCAGTGGACTCGTTAAGGGCTGTAATGATGATGACGATGATTCCGTGAGAGCGTGGTCCTTCCCCGGTCGAGCCGACCGTTAATCGACAACCATAATATAGCTGCAGCGTGGCTCTACCACGTATTATAAAAATATATTATCAATATATATATATATATATATATATATATATATATATATATATATATATATATATATATATATATATATATATATATATATTTTCACGTTGTAAACTGTGTACTGCATACTGACACGTTCAAAACTAGCTACTCCAAATTTCTCCAAATTATTTTGCGAAATCTCGAAGTTCTGTTAAAAAAAAAAACGTTTTTTTTTTTTCAAATTCTTTCTCCTTCGATATCTAACGAACGAATGAACCGCACGCGCACACACACACACACACACACACACACACACACGCACACACACACACACACACACACACACACACACACACACACACACACACATACACACACACACACACACACACATACATCCGCACGGACGTCCACGTGTAAT